ATAATTGATGGTCACGGTTAAGGTCTGTCTGTCTTACTTTTTCCCAGCACTAAATGAACATTAATGGGGTCCATGTGCTTTTTTTTTACTCAAACAAACAAACACACGAACAAACAGACAAACAAACTAACAAAACGACATCCATGTCTCGATGAAGTTGCTATGCGCGTGCTAGATTATTTGTTCATTTTGAGGTTTGAACCGGCTTATAAAATAAAAAAAAATAAAAAAATAAATACATAATAAAAGAGTCAAATCAGTTCTTAAAAGCTTTTGGCTTCTATTTAGTTTTGAAACATTATGGCTTGGGATGTCATGTCGGCTGGAAATATGCTGGGCATTATTCATGAATTGCATTTCGTAGGGATTACATTTGAATTAGATATATAATGATGAGTGGTTTTTCATTAGAAATTATTTACATGAAGCTTTATTTGATGAAAAGACACTGTTATAATCAATTTAGGTTAAAATATTGGAATGTGTTCACAAATACACATACTGCTTTGTTCTTCTGTTCTTTAGCCTATTGCCTTACAGAATCGGTTTGAATTTGATGAATGCCGGTACCCAGTATCTGATTATTTCCCGAGCAAAAGATGAGGGTACTTTCTTACTGAACACAGCGGAAGTTGCTAAAATCCCTCGTTAAAATCCCTTGTGAAATAGGATACAATGAAATTCTCACACGTGACGTACAATAGATGTTGCTGTCACTTGTGAGGGTAGAAAAATAAAATTTACTCCTATTTTGACGTAAAACTGATGTTACTTTCACCTATGAAGGTAGGAAAATACAATTCTCACACGTGGCGTAAAAAAATAAAAAAAATAAATGCCACTGTCACTGAAGATGTGAGATAAATAAATTATTGTCATGTGTGACATTAGGTAAAATGAAATTCTCACATGTGACTTACCGTATAGAATTATTTTAGTTACTGTCACTTATGAAGGTAAAAAGAAAAAATACTCACCTGTTACTGTCATGTGGTCGCTTTTAAGCACAAGGTGGCTATCCCGAAAAATGCTGTTTTGCCCCTTGTTCAGTTTCTTTAAAAGACAAGGAGAGTTTTTCTCTATAACCAAACAAATATACACACGAAGGAAACCAAACTTCTCCTATTGGTAGGGCATTGCACAATTTTGGTGTAGGTCAAGATTTCTGGAAACCCCCGAAATCTGGGTTAGCCTACTTGTCCTTTGAAAGCGACCATATATGATGTGAGATAAAGTACGGACATGCTCTCACATATTATGTGATGCTGTGAAGTATTATGACGCTGAAGGCTAAATAAGGCATAATAATATATGACATTTGTGGGACGTGCTGACAAAATGAGTTACTTCTCGCACTTCACAAATGGAGATATCGGAGGAAAATAAAAAAAGGAATACATTTGTAGACTCTCAACTGATGTCATTTTCTTCAAGTTTACCATGTCTTTTATTATTTCCAACTAATGAATTGTAAAAACTCAGCCTATCAATTCCACATATCTATTTCTACAGGGCGAAAATATGAGAAGTAACGCATTTTGTCAGCACGTCTCACATTTATATAGCGCTCCACCCTGATTAAAGTACACAGGCTCTGAGCGTTTTACAATACATACAATACAATACAATGTACAACAGTCACATAAAAAGTTGTGTTCTGACCAGAGAAGGTTTACAGTAAACTCTCTGGTTCTGACTAAAAGAAAATCACTCCAAATAAAATTCATCTTATTAATTTAAAAACAGAAATGACACTGGTGTTGTTCGTGTTCGTCGACCATGTTGTTGCAGTGAAGCAGCAAAGTGTTGCCTGACAATAGTTGTAGGATGTTGAAGATGGCGAAGACTAAGAGTAAGAAGAGAGCCGGTCTTGATGGTTTCCTCGTTCCGTTTGCACTGCCTGCAGGAGGTGAAGCCGACCAAGAGCCACTGGCGGGAGAAGCACGAGGACTTCATCAACGCCATCCGCAATGCCAAGGGCGTGACCAAGGCCATCAACTCTGGCGGGCCCCTGCCGCCCCCACCCCCTCCCTCCATCAACCCCGGTGAGTGGGTGGTGTGGGTGTGTGTGTGGGTGTATGTGGGGGGGGAGGAGGATGGTGTGTGTGTGAGTGGGGGTGGGAAGTGTGTGGGTGGGTGTGCGCGTGTGTGTATGTGTGGGTGTATGTGGGTCTGGCTGTGTGTGTGTGTGGGTGTGTGTGTTCGATATGGGGGGGAAGGGGTAGGGAGAGTTAAAAGCGTTATATATGGATTTCTTGCGCCACTAGTGGATGTTATGTGTTTCTATGTAATTGTTCTTGTTCATTGTTCCTGTTGTTGTTGTTGTTGTTGTTGTTGTTGTTGTTGTTGTTGTTGTTGTTGTTGTTGTTTTCGTTGATATTATCTTTGCTGTTGTTGTTCTTCTCCTTTTTTTGTTGTTATCGTACTAGTGTTGTAGTTGTTGCTGTTGTTGTTGTTGCTGCTGTTGTTGTTTTTGTTGTTGTTGTTGCTGTTGTTGTTTTTGTTGTTGTTGTTGCTGTTGTTGTTTTTGTTGTTGTTGTTGTTGTTGCACAATTTAAATATTGTCACTACAACAGATTTCCTGTTTAGTACTGAAGGCAACATTTTTTTGTTGTTGAGATTAGCCGTAGTAGCCGTAGCGTTTTTGTGGGGGAAGAAAGAACGACAACAATCACAAGTGATGAAGAGGAATGGAGCGTGGGGAAGGCGAAAAGGGGGGGGGGGCAACAACAACAACA